GTAGGCAGTAACTACCAAAGACAAATGGGTGAGGTCGCGCAAAATCCCTAGATCAATCAGAGTTAGACATTAACACCGTTGGATGCCAGCACAGTGATCCGATGGTTAGACGTTCGTGCACAATACCGAAGGTCCCGGGATCGAATCCTACGAGGTGCAGGTGTCGTGAATGTGCACTGCCGAGGAGTCCCATACCAGGACGAAACGGTCGTCCAGTGCTTCCAGGTTTCTAATGGTGTTGGTCTAACAATGATTGATTGATTAATGATTTCAAATGTGTGAAAACACAAACCTCCAAAACTCTGCCCCAAAATATTAGTATATAGTCTGGGAATTTGTGTTCGTTTATGTTTGGTATTCTTCCATTGGATCCAGCTTCATTTGAGTGCTGACGGAACTCTAATCCCTAATATCTTTCAGTTCAAATGCTTAAGGTGTTTTCAACTGATTTGTTGAGTGCAAGTAGACATTTGGTTTGAAATTAACCTTTTGGATGAAGTTAATATACAGGGATTCAAATGCCAAACCAAAAGATGGCAGAAATCCATGAAGTCACTAACAAGTGGACTAAGTCAAGTTGATAGTTCCTAGTGGAACATAGGCAACCAACCAGCATTCTCTAACATATTCTATCATGGGCCTTTATTTCCAGTTTTACCCAATCGCTATCCATTCTTTTCGTGTCTGCCTCCAATACGCTGCATAATGCGTTCTTTGGTTTTCTTCTGGTTTTGATTTGGGGATTTCAACTGATGGCTCGCTTTTCGATTCAGTTGGGTGATTTCCGGAATGTGTCCTATGCACTTCCAGCTCTTTATACTGATTTCTTTCTCAGCTACAATCTGGTTTGTTTTCTCACACAATAGGATGTTGTTGATGGTGTCTAGCCAACGGATCAGAAGTATTGTGCGCAGACAACTTTTAATAAACACTTGTATCTTCCCGACGATGGCTTTTGTAGTTTTCCGAGTTTCCGTCATATACACTAAAACTGTTCTGACATTTGTATTGAAAATTCCGACCTGTGTGTTTGTTGATAACTGTTTCGAGTTCCAGACGTTCGTCAATTGTAGAAATGCAGCGCTTGTTTTACCTATCTGCGTCTTCACATTATTCTCATCAATGATGCTGCCCCAGTTATGTAAAGATGTACGTTGTGTTGTATTGGGGAATCTTGCTTTTCCTCTTGCGGTAATCGAGACCTACTGTTTCTGTAGTTAACTAACTAACTCTTCATCAATTAATTACAAAAATAATTTCTTGGTTCTTTCTACTTTTTTAAATAAACAAAACGAAGAGATTTCATCTATCTCCATGATTTATTGATTAAATTTCATTCATGACTTAAATTCTTCTCCTTTCTCTCTCTCTCATTATTAATCCCAATAAAAGAATAGCTAGCTCATCAGTAGTAGTTCATACTGATTAATGGCATTGATTACAACATACATTTCATGAATTGTACATAGAATAATGTTAAAAGAAAGAACTCAATTGTTTTATTATTATAGACTTTTGTATAACAAATATCTATCTATCTATATGTAGCTATAATATGGGTGGAAACGAAGGCAATCAATTATTCGAAAAATCAATGCCCGCTGTAACAACTATTCAAGATGAAATGTGATTGACAGATGACACGGATTAAATAGCAAAACAGATGTTAACCTATGAAATTGTTAGTTAATTGTAAACTTTATTGGATTATTCGAACTTTCAAGCTGGATAGTTTAATAAAGGGCTTGATTAATTTTTCCTGAGTATAAGTCTTGGGGAGGTTAGATCCTCAGAATTTACTCAACAAAGGTCCTAATTTTGGATTTTTTTATGTTCGCACGCATAAGTTGCTTAGTTGACGACCTTCAGCTGACATTTCCCACTCGGAAGATACTTGACTGGCATTGGCCGATCGATTATTTTAGAACGCTATTTTTGTGGTTCTCACCGAGGGTGTTTCTATCATGTATAAATAAGCTCGATTTGTTTGCTTCAAAAACTTCAAATTTTCTGGGTGCTTGTAGAATACACTTTTCTACGCCTTATCAAGACTTCTTGATATAGTTAGCAGGGCCGTGGACAAACGGATTAGAATAGCCCATCGTGTCAATGAGTCATTGCTGCCATCTCGTTTACCGAATAAGGTGAACTCGTAATAGCATTCAAGTATATCAATAACGCCATCAAAAAAGTATGTGTTTAAGGTGATGATGCCTGTAGACACTCATAAAATCGTGGACACTATATACAGTGATGGTTAGTGGATTTAAATTCTAGCGAAATCTTATTTTTAACCTGTAATATATTATCTCAACGTTATGACCAGAAAACACAATCATTAATACGTTAAAGTTCTTTCGTTTATAATCCTTTTTTTAAAAGTATGATATTAAATTATATTTATTACTAAGCTAATCAGAATATCAACTTCGTCTGAATTTTCTGGAGTTGACCTTTTACCAGGTGGCTCGCTTATGGACTCAGAATATGCAGATGACATAGCCATACTTGGTGAAGACGCTGACAAAATGCACAGTCTTCTGACTACCCTAAGCAACAATTCAAGCATGTTCGGGATGCGATTCTCCCCCTCGAAATGCAAAATGTTGCTTCAAGATTGGGTTGCATCGGTACCTGAACTAGTGATAGGGGGTGAAGTAGTCGAACGTGTAGACCGCTTCACTTATCTCTGGAGTCTCATAAGTGTTGATGGCGTGGTGTATGACGAAATCTCATCTCGGATACAAAAGGCTCGATTGGCTTTTGCCAACTTGCGTCACTTATGGCGTAAGCGAGATATCCGTTTGTTGACTAAGGGACAAGTGCACTGAGTAGTAGTTCGCTCCGTCGTACTTTATGGCTGTGAAACATGGCCAGTAATATTAGAAAATATTCGAAGGTTGCTGGTTTTAGATCACAGGTGTCTCCGAAGCATTGCTCGTATATCGTGGGACAATGGAGCTAGCAATGCTGTTGTTAGGAAACGAGTACTAGGTAAGGATGGCAGGTCAATGGATGAAGGATTGAAACTTCATCAGTCGAGGTGGTTGGGACATGTGTTACGAATGCCTTAATTTCTCCGATTACAGCTAATACTTCTACTACATCTAGTACTATGGGATTTGAAGTGACAATTGTATCTTTGTGCTAATGTGGTATGGTAACTTGAACTGATTTATGTACGTATGAAGTCCTATGTTGTCGTTGACTGACTGACTGACTCAGTTTCCATTTTTCTCTTTAACTAAATTTTTATCATAGATTTTCTTTTGAATTGATTAGTCTACACTATAGTTGAAATGAATATGTTGATCACATCTAACTAATAAATATTATGACCGGTTGAATAGATCAACTACATTTTTTAATCAGAAATCCATGAATTCACTGACTAGTGGACTGAGTCATGTTGATAGATGTACACTACCCGGTTGGGGTCCGTGAGACGAAAGTCACCAATGGTTAGAGACCTTGAACGACATGGCTCAAAATCGTTTGCAATGGCGCAAGTGCATCCATTCTTTGAGCTCTCTCAAATCCTAATCTTCTGGATTCGTCAGCACCTACTCGACCTTTGTCTTTCTAATCTTATCTCACTGAATTATACTTCTTGAATATCTTCAAACCCTAGTCTTCTTCATTACCATTAATACCTCTACTATCTTTATCACTATGGGATTTGATTTGACATTTGCGTCTCTGTGCTAATGTTGTGGTATGGCAGCAACATGAACTTATGTACATACGTACGAAGTTCTACGTTGCAACTGACTGACTGACTGATATTTTTGAAAAGCCACAAAGCACATTTCAAACTAATCAATCGAACGACAATAGAAAGAAATCTAGTAGATACAAAAAATATATATAAATTTATTTATTATGATAAATAATAATACTACTATGAATACTACTACTACTACTAATACTAATACTATTCATTTTTGAAAAACACACAATATTAAACAGATTGTATCAGAAAGTAATGCAAATGAAATGAAATGAAGTACTACATTACAATATCCAAAAAGGTAAATGTGCATGCATGCACACACACGCACACACACACACACACTCAGATTAAATACATTAATTAGCCTAAAATGGATGAAAACAATAAGGCTAAGACTGTTAAGGTAGTACACGGCTGGTTTTTTTCTCCACAGTACAAAATACAACATATCTAGCCTAGATATGTGTGTGAATATTTTTTTATATACAAAAGTCGATTAAAATCAAATAACAAAAAGGTGATAAATGAACATTTTAAGCATGAATAATCACAGTAATCAACATAGTACACTGGAATTGAATAATGAAATAAACATGAGAGAGAGAATAAATGGATAATATTATTTTATTGATTGTACACATCAATACGCCTCAAACTTAACAGTCAGTCAGTCAGTCAGTCAGTCAGTAGTACAGTACAGTACAGTACAGTATGAAAAATACACATTACCAATACACATACCAACCAATATATAAACGCATAAAAAGGAAAACGAAATCATACAAATGATTACAAACGCATACTCTGTGTTGTAATCATCATTTAAATAGTTGGGATAAACTTTTTTTTAAACTTTGTTTGTATACATGTGTGCAGGTGTGTGTGTGTGCGTGCATGAGGTGTAAACCTCGATTGTTCTTAATGACAAACAAACTGAATCTTTAGAAGAAAATTTTTTAAAAAAAAACCAGTAGAAAATTTTAACAAGTACTATTGATAAATTGGGGACACACGAAGAGAAACAAAACAAACAAACAAACGAACAGAAAAATGACGACTAGCCAGTTTAGGTTAGATTGGATTGATGAATTGATAATTTGGATGGTGATGGTGTGTTGTACTAGTTGGTGTATCACGTAATAATGATATCATACAAGTTTGTTTTTGAGCGGATTTCTTTTTACTTATTTAAATTCTTCACTTGATCGATCGCCGGGGAAAGCCGGTAAATTAATACTTCTACTACTACTACTTCGACTTCGACTACTTCATTTTAAGCATTTTCATTTTTGGCATTTTCTTCAACTTTTCTTTACGTTGTTCTTTCTCCTTGAAACAAAAAAAAAGAAGAAAACACGAACATCGGCACACATGAGAAAGATAGCTGACATAATAATATATCATGGTGGAAGTAATAGTACTAATGTAGTGAACGAGAACACAGATGGGGCAACCGAATTGTATTTAACGAAAATTACAGAGTTACTCAGTAGTAAAATAGGAAAACCATATCGTAAATCGTTCATTTGCAAAATATCAGTTCATCATCATATCGAACTGGACTGTTTCTGTTGCCAAACATCAATCCATTGTCACTGTTCATGCGTTTCATACAAATTCCATTGTTTTCTAACTCTTCCTTTCGTTGATCTTCCCCCATCTTCTGCTGCCAGACATTACGTTGACACTCACATCATATACTACTTATAAGTAGCTCACACCACACTAGTAGTATACTCAAATAATGCAAATTTTACTTATTATATAATGTTAGAGAGTTGAAGAAAGTTGAAATTATTCTTTTAACAAATTGACATCAAATGAGTACAACCAAAATTAAGCAAATTAATTTTTCATTGATTCACTGAATAAATGCCTAAACTCAAACTCTAGGATTGTCAATTGTGATGTGCTCGTCAATTGATATGCTTGAATGCTATTACGAGTTCACTTTACTCGGAAAATGGAGCGAAGACAAATGGTCCAGTGACATGATAGGCTATTCTAATCATAGCGTGACAAGGCTACACTAAGTAGGGGAAGAAGTCTTGACAAGACGTAGAAAGTGTATTTTACAAGCATCCAGAGATACGCAGTCGACAAGCACACATATCGAGTTTATTTATACATGACAGAAACGTCCTTTGGAGAGCCAAAAAATAGCATACTAAAATAATCCACCAACCTATGACAGTCAATGATTTTCCGAGGGCGAAATGCAAGCTGAAGGTCAAATAAGCAACTAACTTATGAGTGAAAACATAAAAAATCCAAAATTAGGACCTTTTCCGCGTAAGTTTTGAGGATCTAACGTCCCCAACAGCGAAAAAATCACAATAAAACTGAACACTCGACAACATCTTGCTAACCAAAATGTAAAATGATGATAAGAAGGTGGACGGTAAGATGTGGAACGACGAGACGGATATACAATGACTTTTACAGACTATCAAGGATATTTTTTAATATTGAACACAGAAATGAGATAAATATGAACAGCTATTTTTAAAGCGATAAGATTAATATAACATAGAGTCAGTAAAACATAATTTCTATGACCTCAATCTGCCTGTTTACTGGATTGACTGCAGCATAACTGTAAAAATCAATCCAACTTTTTATAGATTGTGAGTAACTTTTTTATTGGGCTGAAGAATCAAGATTTATAAGTCCCCAAATATTGTCAAACAGCATTTAAACAAAAACAGGTATGTCCCATTTTTACAAGTCAACAACAACAACAAGGTAACAGAGTAAAAAACAAATAGGAGTACGAATGTTATTAAAGGAAAAAGCGAAATTCTCCGATGCAACACAACATGCACCAACCAAATCACTCGATGCAGATGCCTTGGAGGACATTAACACCTTTACATATCTGGGCAGCAGCATCATCGACGAGAAAGGTGGATCCGATGGAGATGTGAGGGCGCGGATTGGCAAAGTGAGGGCTGCATTTCTACAGTTGAAAAACATCTGGAACTCCAAACAACTTTCAACCAAAACCAAAATAAGGATATTCAATATAAATGTCAAGACAGTTCTACTGTATGGAGAGGAAACATGGAGAACTACCAAAGCCGTCATCCAGAGGATACAAGTGTTTATTAACAGCTGTCTACGCAAAATACTTCGTATTCGTTGGCCAGACACCATCAGCAACAACGAACTGTGGGAGAGAACAAACCAGATTCCAGTTGAGGAAGAAATCAGGAAGAAGCGGTGGAAGTGGATAGGACACATACTACGAAAAGCACCTAACTGAGCCACAAGACAAGCCCTCACATGGAACCCTCAAGGCAAAAGGAAAAGCGGAAGGCTAAAGAATACATTAACGCCGAGAAATAGCGAAAGATATGAGAGGAATGAACAAACAATGGACAGAACTGGAGAGGGAGGCCCAGGACAGAGTTGGTTGGAGAAAACTGGTGGGCGGCCTATGCTCCATTAGGGGTAACAGGCGTAAGTAAGTAAGTAAGTAAGTACGAATATTATAACTTTCAAACGTTGCACAGTTTAATCATCAATCAACTGAAATATGTTCACTGTTAAAAATATTACAACGTTAAATACTATCAAATAACTGTGCATAATAAACGTTAAATATATATGTGATACTTAAATCTTTTCACAACACAAACAAATATATATACACGATCATACACACTCACCTCAAGTTTTCGAGCTTTCTCAGGATCATCTTCAGCCATTATACGCTCTTTAGCAGCCCGTAAGCGTTCACCACGACGATTTTGAGCTGCTTCTTGTCGTTGACTATGCATTGATTTAAGATGTGAATCATGTGCACGTTGCCTATTTCTTTCTGATTTAGCCTTACCCTAAATTAAAAAATGTATAATGTTTATTTATAAGACGTAATAACTTTTTTATGTCAGAATTTTTTTATGAAGTTAATTTCAGAAAATCCTACAAATCAAAATCATCATGAATCGCAAAACTAAAAAAAACTTAAATAACTTTAAAAGTAAATCAACCCGACCAAGTTCAATTTCCCTTCGAGCATTAATTATACATACTATGAGCATTATTAATATTTCACAATCTGTCAAGCCAAACAAATCGAGTTGTAAGCCATATAGTTTTAATGCACAAATACATGTACATACAATCAAGTAAGTACCTAAGAAGAGAATGGAGTAGTGAGTGACTTAGTGGTTACAATGCTTGACTTATGGTCCAAAAAATATCACAGGTTCGAAACGCCCCCCCGGGCCAACCTAATTCAGATAAAACATTCAGTAGCCTCCACAATTATAGTATGACTTTTGGAGAACGATGTTTTAACCGGTTTAGCATTTAAGTTTTAGACGATAGAAAAAAAAAACAAATTAAATATTTATTTATTTATAGAGTATGAGTGGATTTTATTCATCGTTGTCCAAAATTATTAATATTTAACCAAGTTGTAATTTAAATAAATTTCGAAATCGGGACAATTATCTTTCACTAGCCTTATAATCAAAAAGGTTAAATATCTCCTAGATTATGTGAAACAATTAATTGTTCTTGGTATGAACTCCTTCACTCGACCGAAGCTGCTACTACCTTGACGTGGTGGTGGTCGGGCTTGCCTATCGTCATGACCCAACCGAGCTATACTGGCTGGAACAATATGTTCCTGTAGGTTCTACCATGACAGGCTGCTCGAATGGAGAACGATGAGACTAAAAGCAGATACTCAAAGTCTGAGGGCGAAGTCGTACTGCTGAATGCAGAAGGGTGTGATACCAGTAAGGTGTTTCCCTCGGACAACCGGCATCTGCAGTGATGCTGCCTTCTCACAAGGAAGGAAGGGTTAGAAAAGGTCGACCCTAAAAATGTCACACCTCACCCTACCTCACGGATTTCCGTCTCCGGTGGTAAGGGTGCCCACTAAGGGCTTTTAAGAACGGAGCTAATCCTCAAAAAACATTTCATTAAAAGGCCGTGCGTGACCGGCCTCATGCAGTTGTCCCTTGGGCTCTGTGGTCACGCTCCCAGGTCTCTAAGACCAACACTAATCTATCTTCCTTTTCAGGTCCCTCAAGAAACAACCTTCCATGGTGTGGGCAGCCGGGAAGTGATAACCGCCTTCATACCCGTAACAGCACACAAGACCAAATTGGTCACAGTCAAATCCTTCCTCCTGAACTCCTTCATCTATCTAGTGATCCATAAAGTTTTTTAAAACTTTTGATAGTACTGTAAGCATGTTGACAACTTAAAATCTTTCAAAGTAATTAAATACATAATCAAGCTCCAGTTCTCTCAACTTTGCCGAAGCCATGTGCAACGACGTGCGAGGAACAAGGTGTTTTTTCTGCTAACAAACGTTACTCGGTATAATATTATGAAGTTCTGTTCAACTTTTTCTCTCAATCGATTAGATCATCGTGTCTTTTTATTTCAACTCCCTTTTAAATTAGTAATTTTGCTTCAACTGAATAAGCTTCGGCCATCATCTTAGTTACATTAGTAATCGGCATTTGATTTTATTACGTAACCACTAGTTTTCAGCTCTCTATGTTTTAGTTATTTTGAATGTGCTAGTATGTTCACATTCATATAAGCATATATATATATTTGCAATGTTCTATACAATTACCTAGCTATGAAGTACACTGTAATGTTCACGATAAGTGCTTACTAGAGTGATTTATGCAAGTAATTGCAATTATTTTTTCGTACGTGACACAGCACTACTTCATAAAGTCAATGGTTGATGAATTAAGTTGTATTGGTCTGGTTGGGACATGTGAAACAACCGCAATCAATAGTTGAGAACAATAAAATGATAAATGTTCAAAATCACTTAAAATTGAGTAAATACATGTACTGCTTATTTTCTAAACGTTGGACTTCAGTACGCTTTCGCACACACACGCACACACCTTTCATTCCCTCCTTTTGAAGCATATTTTCAATGGTTAGTCATCATCATTGACGTTATTGTTAAGAATAAGTCGACAGTTTCCATTATTCATCGTGCTAGTTTCTTTTCATCGCTTCCACTTCAGTTATTAAATGCAACACGTAATGACTAACAACTAACTGAACACTTCAGTTAAATAAGCTTACAGATTCATTAAAAAAAACCCATCCCAAATTGTATATACCAAATGATCTTCAAAAATCATTGTTTTTATACAATTTAATCTGACAATTAGTAAAACAAACAAACAAACAAAAAAATGTAACCAAATTATCCATAATAGCTGTTAGGATATTCATCAAATATCCTAAGAATACTATTTTTAGAAGTACAATCCTATTGGTCGATTTATATTGGTCAAAATTATGGTCATTTTAACTGTCGAAGTCAACTACTTCAATGTTGTCTCTTATTGGTCATCCGGACTGTCAATGTCATTCATTTCAAGTGTTCTTTCCTATTGGTCGTCCTAAACTGTCAATGTCACAGACTTTGATGCTGTTTCCTATTCGACCTTAATGTATAAATACGCACTATATGTAAGACTTCATGATTCGGATTCCGATTCCGTTCCTTCCTGTCAACCTCTCTCTTCTGTTCTCGACCCAATAAACAACTCCATCCCATGGTGTTGCGTTCTGATAATATCTAGGAGATGTGGAAATAACATTTTGGGTCGTATTAGGATATTTGAATTGGATGCCGCTAGGACTGAATAGCTGCTATACGTAGCAGCGTTACAACAACAACATCAACACGATGATAAACCAATCAATCAACAAACGTACCTCTTTACTAAGTCGAAATCGACGAGCTTTTTCAATTACATAGAAAATGAAATGAAATAGCGCAGTTGCTGATTCAATTGGTTGATGTTGATGATTATTAGTATTAACTGATTCATTGTCATTTGATGATGTAAGTGATGATGCTGAGAAAGATTTCGATTTGGCCGTTGTTGGAACATCTGAATTTTTTTTGTGTTGTTGTAAATAGGGAAGAAAAATAAAATCAGCATCAATTGAATAGTGTTCATACATGAAAAAGAAATGTATTCAGAGAGAGAGAATGCGAAAGCGATAAGTAACAGTGATTGAAAATAAGCTAATTACACAACACCCTTAATCAATCTTAGTTCATCCACACACACCCCCACACACACACACAATTAAGAAAAATGATGTGACCGACTAGAATTAGGAATTCATTTATGGCGGAGTGTATTAAATCTGTCAAGCTGTGATTGACTGGTTAGGGTAAGGACATTTTTAATCGTGTGGTTTTTTTCTGTTAATAACTTGTAGAAAAGAAAACCAAAATAGGAAGTTGTGTGGCATATATTAAAACGTGTTTCAAACACCATAGTGAATAATACACTACCACCAAACTGAAATTGTGGTGTGAGCTACTTATAAGTAGTATATGACGTGAGTGTCAACGTAATGTCTGGCAGCAGAAGATGGGGGGGGAAGATCAAGAAAGGAAGAGTTAGAAGAACACAATGGAATTTGTATGAAACGCATGAATAGTGAGTGACAATGGATTGATGTTTGGCAACAGGAACAGTCCAGTTCGATAGGATGAACTGATATTTTGCAAATGAACAATTTTCGATATGGTTTTCCTATTTTACTGAGTAACTCTGTAATTTTCGTTAAATACAGTTCGGTTGCCCCACCTGTGTTCTCCTTCACAACAATATGATAGCCAATGGTTGTTAACTGATTAGATGGTGTATAACCACCAACAGAACTGATTTTCTGTAGTAGTCACTTGTGTCACTCAGTCGTGCTTATTTATTGGTTCACATCTTATATAGAAGCACGTTATTTTAATAGAAAGAGCCTATTGTGAATGGCAGCTATTTTCTTCATAAATATCAGTTTCGTTAGGAGGTTTGCGTCAATAATTCGATCTCGTAAAAGGCCATCATTCGATCACTTCGTTCACTGATCGACATTCTGTTTACTTATTTGAATGAAAAATTTGTTTATCAAATCATTGTAGCATTACTCTTACATTTTATAATACTAAGAATACAACTATATCAAACACGAGAGACCTTTTTCTACACGATCAGAATACAGCTGAAATTCAATGTTCACTAAGAGATATACATCTCCAGATTTACTCAAGACTAATATTCACAATCGAATTCAAACAATTTTGTATCGATTAGTCACAAAAAAAAACTCACTAAACTGTTCGAAGGTTAGATGGACAGGAAGTTTTACAATATAAATGCATTGGTGATTTAACATCCCCAAAACAAAACCACTGAGTTATACTTGCACAAGATTGTAACTTAAAGTCAGTAAACATTACAAACAATCGTATTACGTTTCATAATATTACTAAGCGTTTGTATTATCCCATGGATATTTTAATAATTCTTTGTGGGTACACATGTGTGCATCATGAGTAGATTGCTTTAACCTAACTATGTTGTAACAAGCTTTAGTACATATATATTAGTGAGTAGCAGTGGGATTAGGACATAGTAGGTTGGAGAATACTGGCCAGCGGCCTATGCTCCTCCATTGGGAGTAACAAGTGTAAGTAAAAAGTAAAAGCAGTAGGATACAGGACGTACGTTTTGAGACTTGTTGTCGAGATATACATACATCTGGATGCATATTTTGTGAGTCAATCAGTCAGTCAGTTGCAACGTAAGAATTTGGTACGTACGTGCATAAGTTCATGTTGCCTTACCACATTAGCACACAGACGCGAATGTCAAATCGAATCCCATAGTGATAAAGATAGAAGAGGAGGTATTAATGGTAATGAAGAAGACTAGGGTTCGAAGATATGATTCAAGAAGTATAATTCAGTGAGATAAGGTTAGAAAGACAAAGGTAGAGGTGCTGACGAATCCAGGAGATTAGGATTTGAGAGAGCACAAAGAATGGATGCACTTTCGCCATTGCAAACGATTTTGAGCCATGTCGTTCAAGGTTTCTAACCATTGGTGACTTTCGTCTCGTGGACCCCAACCAGGTAGTCTACATCTACCAACATGACTCAGTCCACTTGTCAATGACCTCATGGATTTGTGTCATGTTTTGGTTTGGCCTTATCTCATCGAATTATACTTCTTGAATACTATCTTCAAACCCTAGTTTTCTTCATTATCATTAATACCTCTACTATCTTTATCACTATGGGATTTGATATGACATTTGCGTCTGTGTGCTAATGTTGTGGTATGGCAATATGAACTTATGCACGTACGTACCAAATTCTTACGTTGCAACTGAGTGACAGACTGACTGCATGGTGATCTCATCAAAGAATTATATATATATATATATATATACTATCCTAATAAAATCATATTTTCATTAGCAGTTAAGAGAAACCATCTGTTGACTACCACCTTCTTAATTTCACTATAAAATAAGTGATGATTAAACACGCGCAAAGAAAATGTAGACCTATGTTCTCCAATCTTTAAGATATAGCTAATGAAGTGGTGCCTTATTAATAAAATCACACTGTTTCTAAATAATAAGTCATATAACAATTTATTTGATGACCAAACATCGTTTCTTCTCCTATTGTGAAACTCCTAAGCAGTGCATATTCACAAACCAACAAGGGATCGAATCCCGAATCTTCATGATTTCAAATAAATTAAGAAGTTTAATAACTACCTGAACAGATAATCAAAAATTGATGAAAGGTATATACAGTCAGTCAACTTACATCTAAATGCAAAAATCAGAGCTTTCTGTGTAACCGGAGGTTTTGTAGGAGTATTTGTATCCCTGTAAAGGAAAGAGAAAGTGTAACTTTCATTCATACATATGTTGAACTCATTTAAAATATGAAAAAGAAAATTTACTACAGTTATATGAAAAACATTCGTTTAATTCGAAGACAATTCAGCCAAAGGACCAAATAGAACTTCTCAAGAAGAGGCACTAATATTCCCATACATACAGAAGTTTCCAGTTACAGAGTAGGCACTGAGATCTCTTTACTTTGGGGTTTATTGATGAGGTATGCAACAAAATTTATGAACGAAGATGTAATTCGTCCGACTTTATTTACAATTGTTTCATTTGTGAACTCTAATCAAATATTTTATTTCAAAGCAAACGGGGTATAGATTTAATTCACATCATTATATTTCTTCTGAAAATACTTAATCGCAATGAAGTTCATTATTTTTATATTTGCAGTTACCCAAAATTGTCTAAAAAAGACTGTTGACAATTCAATATACACATATTAATGATAATAAGTTCGAACTGTGCATCTAACTGATATTGAATTGTGGTGTGTGCTACGTCCCTTCTTATACTACTTATATCATTCGTATAAGTAGCACACACCACAAAATAAAATCTAGTTATTTAACACTTATTACCATAGAAATAATACAATCACCATAATAAAGATGGTTACGTTTCGTTGGAGATCAGAAGCACACAGGACAATTTTTTGTGAATACACATGTAAAATGAAGAATACTGAATATGAGTGCTTGATTTTTCTTTAAAAGGCATTTTTTTGAGTAAAGTTAAGATCATTTTATTAAACGTAGAAGTAAAAGTTGAACAGAGAAGAAGAAACAATTTTTAAAAAAAAACTAAATAAAACTATCAACCTAAGATCAATTGATTAACCAAGCGTAAAACATCGTTATTGTATGCACAACTGAAGGTTTTAGATTGTAGTTAGTTAGCCAGATATACATTTGCTATTCTGGTATTGCCTAAATAATAAATACATTACTAAAACTAACTAAATCAATGTACGCAGTATTATTATTATTTTTATTAATACAAAGACTATGTCTACCCAGATTTCTTGATTAACTTTGATACATCTTCATTCCAGTCAGTCAGAGTCAGTCAGATGCAACGTAGAACTTCGTACGTAAGTACATCAGTTCATGTTGCCATACCACATTAGCACACAGATGTCATTGTCAATTCAAATCCAATAGTAGAAGAGGTAGTAAAGGTATTAGAAGTAATCGGAGAGGTTAGGATTAGAAGATATTATTCAAGAAGTAGGATTCAGTGAGAAAAGTTTAGAAAGTCGAGAACTAGAGGGGTTGAAGAATCTAGAAGATTAGGATTTGAGAGAACACAAAGAATAAATGCACTGGCGCCATTGCGAACGATTTTGAGCCGTCATTCAAGGTCTCTAACCATCGATTATTATCATCTCGCGAACCCCAACCAGGTAGTCGACAATTACCGACATGGCTAAGTCCACTCGTCAATGATTTCATGGATTTCTGCCATGTTATGTTCCGACCGCCCCTAACTTTCTTCCAACCTATTCCTACACTACAAAACAAAGCTCGACAAGGCAGTCGGTGGTTGAGCATACGCGCAACACATATCCCAACCACCTCAACTGGTGAAGTGTCACTACTGCGTCTATTGATATGCCATTCTTACCTAGCACAACTAACACTATATAAGCCTAACAAATTACAACTATCCATCTACATATCAGTCGAACTCTCGATCTTTGCCGAATCAAATGTGAACTCAAAGTGCAATGAACAAATGTTTCGGGCCGGTTCACAATAAGAGCTGCTATATCCAAAAGACTGGTGTAGAATAATAGTCCTTACTATATTTTCAAATTGTGAATACCTTGATTATTTTTTTTATTCTTAGATTTAAAATTGTTCAAATGAATGAATTACTAGGACTACTATGTTGACAGACATCAAAATAATAATAATTAATAATTGTGAAAATGTTGTTTCACAGTCAGTCAGTCGTCGTCACGCAAACACAAATATAAACATATGTGCACATGTTGTTTAATTGGTGGTATTCACACACACAAAACAATAATAATAATAATAATAATAATAATAATTCATCAAAACAAAACTCTACTTGTTTTTACTTTTTACATAAGAAAAAATATATGAAGAACGAACCAGCGGATGTATGCGTGTCAATCTATCCTAACTAATCAGACACACACACACACATTGCAATAACAAAATGGTATGCACAAAAATAAAAAATAAAGTTTATGAGGGGACTAGGCAATTTCACGACATCACACATAGAAAACTAAGGAATTTTAAGAAAAAAAAGGTTAGTTGGAACTTTAGACGGTGATAAATAATTTCATTTGTAACCATGAATCGATCAATGATTGTTAGACCAACACCATTAGAAACATGGAAGAAGCACTGAAAGACGACCGTTTCGTCCTGGTATGGGACTACTCCTCATCAGTAGCAGTGCGCATCCACAACTCCTGCACCCCGCAGGGTTTGAACCCAGGACCTTCGGTTTTGTGAGCGAACTAAATATTCGTATTCGCATATGGGTCCATTAGTTAATACGAAAAGAGTCAACGCATAAAATGGTTAACGGCGGAACAAGACAATCAACTTGAATAAAGAAACAAGTGAAGATAGTGAAATCTACGATGACAATCAGAAACAAAGTCACCCAAGAAGCTCATTTTTACATTAGTTTAGCATTGATAATGTTTGTCCAAAACACGATAATGAAAACTCTGCAATCAAACCCCATCTAATTCAAAGAATTCAACAATACACCAAAAACGTTCCCACCTGAGTTTTTGTTTTTTAAACCATCATATTTCAAAGAATCAATAGGATGTAAGTCAGGTGAATAATAAATAAAGAATAGAAACTCTACAAATGGGATATTGATAACCTACTCTTGTGGTGGTTTTGGTCCACTGTATTGATCGGAGAAAAACAAATATTCAATCGATTCTTCAAAATCATTTAAAAATTTACAAACCTGTAGAAAAAAAACAATTTGAAAAAAAACAGTTTTTCAAGAGTGTTGGATTCATTCTGGCTGAAATAGTTTGATACAAAAGAACCATCAACAGTTACGTAATTTGTGTGATCAAATTTTAAAGTATTTCTGTAGTGAAGGAGAACATAGGTGGGGCAACCGTACTGTATTTAACGAAAATTACACAGTTACTCAGTAAAATAGGAAAACCATATCGTAAATCGTTAATTTGCAAAATATCAGTCCATCATATCGAACTGGACTGTTCCTGTTGCAAAACATCAACAATCCATTGTCACTATTCATGCGTTTCATACAAATTCCATTGTGTTCCCACTCTTCTTCCTTTCTTGATCTTCCCTTATCTTTTGCTGCCAGACATTACGTTGACACTCACGTCATATACTACTTATAAGTAGCTCGCACCACATTACTAGTTCTGATATGATTGTATCCACACACTTTACAGTGAGCAATTGAAAAATAGTCGACATATTCCGTTAGCTGAGTGTCCGTTGTGTGCATACTGGTTGGACGTGAAAAAGATAGTGAGCATAGTGTTAATCTACAAAAACCTCAGTGATAAACACAGTGAAGTCAATCATTTCCTTGGAAATGGTCCGATGCTCAATGTTATGATATAAACAACTTTGTCCCCTCTTTATTAGTCAGTCAGTTGCAACGTAGAACTACGTACGTATGTACATATGTTCATGTTGCCATACCACATAAGCACAAGGAAGCAGATTTCAAATCAAATCCCATAGTGATAAAGATAGTAGAGGTATTAATGGTAATGAAGAAGACTAGGGTTTGAAGATATTATTCAAGAAGTATAATTCAGTGAGATAAGGTTAGAAAGACAAAGGTAAATGTGCTGACAAATCCAGAAGATTAAGATTTGAGAGAGCACAACGAATGGATGCACTTGCGCCATTGCAAACGATTTTGAGCCATGCCGTTCAAGGTCTCCAACCATTGGTGATTTTCGTCTCACGGACCCCAACCAGGTAGTCTACATCTACCAACATGACTCAGTCCACTTGTCACTGACTGTTCATAAAATGTGAATCTACTTACATTGCAATTTACAATATGATGTTAGTAGATTATTCAAACTTCACCAACTTTTTGTAAATTAGATACAAATACTACTGAGACATTTGTTTTATTGAAAATAGAGTATATGAAAGTTAAACAACAGAATTTTTATTTTCAGGCGCAATTTGATAAGAAATAGGAAGATTAACAAATTGATGTCAATAAGAAAGCATTCAAAAGGGACAATAATTACACTGTTTGCTCAAAAATAAACCCTCAGTAGCTACAGACAAAAAGTCACAAGTTTCAACGATGTCAATGAGATAGAAATATCTACATGATTAGAACAACACATTATAAGCGAACAATATTACTGTTTTCGATTAGATCGTCATCAGGCTTTTTCACTCTCTAATATACATGAACATTTATATGAAAATGTTAAAACCAATCAAGGCAATTTGAGTCAATAATCACAATGAAATGTGAAATAGATTACGTCACTACCGCTCCCAGTATGGTTAGGGTCAGTTAAAAACAAAACGCAGTTTCATCTTAGCACTTCTGGTCATATTGCAGATCTTTTCGGGTGATCGATCGTATACCTCCAACATTGCGCAACCAAGTTCGGTCCCGTCTCCCACACACTGCAGAAGCCATAGGAATTCGTACATTCAACAACAATTTATGTGTTCAGAAGAAATTCGTGACACCCCTATCTCTACCGCAGTCAGATATGACTTAACCAACATTTTAAAAAAGTTTTTTTGTGCTGATTAGCATTTTTTGCACATTTTGGATTTGTTTGTAAATTTCTGCCTGTTTCCGTTTATATTCTTCACTATCTAATTATGTACACACTTCCTATTACTTAATGGCCTAATGTACCACCCTAAGCAACAATGCAAGCATGTTCGCAATGCGCTTTTCCCCCTCGAAATGCAAAATGTTGCTTCAAGACTGGGTTTAATCGGCACCTGAACTAATGATAGGGAGTGAGGTAGTCAAGCATGTTGACCGCTTCACTTATCTTGGGAGTCTCATCAGTGCTGATGGCCTGGCGAATGACGAAATCTCAGCTCGGATACAGAAGGCTCGATTGGCTTTTGCCAACCTGCGTCACTTATGGTGTAGGCAAGATATCCGTTTGCTGACTAAAGGGCGAGTGTACTGTGCAGTAGTTCGCTCCGTCTTACTTTATGACTGTGAAACATGGCCAGTGAGAGTAGAAGATATTCGTTCGTTATTGGTTTTCGATCATAGGTTTCTTCGAAGCATTGCTCGTATATCCTGGGACAGTCGAGTGAGCAACGCTGTTATTAGGAATCGGGTGCTGGGTAAGAATGGCAGATCAATAGATGAAGTAATGAAACTTCATCATTTGAGGTGGTTGGGACATGTGCTGCGTATGCCTAACCACCGGCTCAAAACCGTTTGCAGTGGCGCCGGTGCATTTATGCTTTGTGTTCTCTCAAATCCTAATCTTCTGGATTCTTCAACACCTCTAGTTTTGACTTTCTAAACTTTTCTCACTGAATCATACTTCTTGAATAATATCTTCTAATCCTAACCTCTCGGATTACTTCTAATACCTTTACTACCTCTTCTACTATTGGATTTGAATTGACAATTATATCTCTGTGCTGATGTGGTATGGCAACATGAACTGATGTACTTACGTACAAAGTTCTATGTTGCATCTGACTGACTGACTGAATGACCTAATGTTTTGTAATGATTATTTTAAGTCTATGTACCCACGTTTGATCTACTATTGATAAAACTTTTGTTATCGTTATTTTATAATTTTCTTACTACTATCAGTACACCTGTCTTCCTACTGTTGTCAACTTTTGTACTTTTGTCTATGATGTGTAGTGACGTAATCTATTTCATTTCATTGTGATTATTGACTCAAATTTCCTTGATTGGTCATGTATATTAGAGAGTAAAGCAGCCTGATGACGATCTAATCGAAAATAACAATATTGTTCGCTTATATGTGTTGTTCTAATGTTTACAATGGGAATCTTTAATAATCTACATAATATTACAGATTGTAGACTGAAAAACAAAATGAGGAAATTATGAACTGGAAGCTAATAATCACAATCGACTTACAAGAGGATTGAAAATTGCCGGGACAACTTCTGGAATTTCATTTAAAATCATGAAAGATTCTGGTATATAGGGATGTCGTTGGCCACGTTTATCTGGACAATATACAGCTAAATCTTGATGATCTTTTGATAAGGCTTGAAGACGACGTTTTCGTCCAACCGCCATAACCCATCCATCCATTTCAGAATCATCCATGATGACTTTCACAACCTGTAACCATTAAAAAATATAAATAAAGTGCATCTCAGCAATCGTATTATAAGTTAAGGTAACGTGAAACTTTATATTTTGATAAACTTATTGATTAGTATGCACAACTTCAGATATAGAATGTCACACTACTTTATATTATAAATATCAATAAAGTACAGTATGTATTTACTTTAAAAACAATGAATCATAAGTTAATTAATTGATCGCATATAAATATTTATTAGAATATAGGGTTTAAAGTGTAATCTTAAGCATCAGTTGTATTTTTTTGGAATACAATTTTATGCTGGCCTAAGATTACGGAGTTAATTTTTGGAAAACCGATAAAACCCTCAAATGTTTGTTTGCTGATTTAGTAGCGTAAACGTTATAATTTGTTCAATCAGTCAGTCAGATACAACGTAGAACTTCGTACGTAAGTACATCAGTTCATGTTGCCATACCACATCAGCACAGAGATATAATTGTCAATTCAAATCCAATAGTAGAAGAGGTAGTAAATGTATTATTAGAAGTTATCGGAGAGGTTAGGATTAGAAGATATTATTCAAGAAGTATGATTCAGTGAGAAAAGTTTAGAAAGTCAAAACTAGAGGCGTTGAAGAATCCAGAAGATTAGGATATGAGAGAACACAACGAATGGATGCACAGGTGACATTGCAAACGGTTATGAGCCATGTCATTCAAGGTCTCTAACCATCGATTATTATCACCTCGCGGACCCCAACCAGGTAGTCGACAATTACCAACATGGCTCAGTTCACTTGTCGATGACTTTATGGATTTCTGCCTTGTTTTAGTTTGGCCGCCCCTAACTTTCTTCCAACCTATTCCTACACTACAAAACAAAGCTCGTCGAGGCAATCGGTGGTTAGGCATACGCAGCACATGTCCCAACCACCTCAAATGATGAAGTTTCATTACTTCATCTATTGATCTGCCATTCTTACCCAGCACCCGATTCCTAATAACAGCGTTGCTCACTCGACTGTCCCAGGATATACGAGCAATGCTTCGAAGAAACCTATGATCGAAAACCAATAACGAACGAATATCTTCTACTCTCATTGGCCATGTTTCACAGTCATAAAGTAAGACGCAGCGAACTACTGCGCAGTACACTCGCCCTTTAGTCAGCAAACGGATATCTTGCCTACACCATAAGTGACGCAGGTTGGCAAAAGCCAATCGAGCTTTTTGTATCCATGCTGAGATTTCGTCGCACACCAGGCCATCAACACTGATGAGACTCCCGAGATAAGTAGAGCGGTCAACATGCTCAACTGCTTCACTCCCCATCACTAGTTCAGGTTCTGATACAGGCCAATGCGGAAGCAACATTTTACATTTCGAGGTGGAAAACCGCATCCCGAACATACGTGCATTGCTGCTTAGGATAGTCAGAAGACTCTGAATTTTGTTAGCCTTTTAACGAAGTAGACCTATGTCATCGACATAACTAGGATCATGATAAAACAATCCAAAATGTCCATATACATAAGGAACTAGTGAATGATAAGCTGAACGCAATTTCAAGAAAACAGAAATATTCAACACATCGAAAAAAACTAACTATTAATAAAAAAGTTGTCTGTAAATATGCACTTTTGTGTAATCACCTACAAATTTTAACCATTTTGCTTTGCTAGTCATTTGTTGAAAACAAACTTCATTCAAAATTGCATTAAGTTCACTTCATTTAAGAGTGTTAGTTAACATTGCCTTGTTGCATAGTCAAATCTGTCTACTTCATCTAAATGTTCACTTGTAAAACTACATTTCACAATATAAGTGTGTTGTATATAGCAATCTTCTTACTTCATCCTAATATATCGTTGTATAAAGCACAGTATTTTCATTTCATCTTAAACCGAGCTCTCAATGCTAAGTCTTTCTAATCACCGATTACTAGGTTATTGCATCTTATTTACTGTTTATCCTATCGTTCTAATTTGGTATGACAACTTTAGCTAATTCACATTTGTCCTAGGCTCTAAGTTGACTACTGGCTAACTAACTAACTGAGTGAAGACAATATTGCAAAGTTTTGAAAATAGAGTTCGTTTTTACTAACTCTAGTACGCGTTACATATATGTTGCTTAAGGTTTGGTTTGTATCAGCACCTGAACTAGTGATATGGAATGAAGCAGTTGAGCATGTTGACCGCACTACTTATCTCGGGAGTCTCATCAGTGCTGATTGCCTAGTGACTGACGAAATCTCGGCAAAGATAGAGAAAGCTCGATTGGCTTTTGCCAACATGCGTCACTTATGGCGAAGGCGAGAAATCCGTTTGCTGACCAAAGGACGAGTCTACTAGGCAGCACTTCACTCCTTCTAATATATTGCTGTGAAACATGGTCGGTAAGAGTAGAAGATATTCGTAGGTTGCTGGATTTAGATCATAGGTGTCTCCGAAGGCTTGCTCGAGAACTGTGGGACAGCCGAGTAAGCAATGCTGTTGTTAAGAGTCGAGTACTAGGTAAGAATGGTAGGTCAGTAGATGAAGTATTGAAATTGCCACAGTTGAGTTGGTCGGGACATGTGTTGGATATGCCTAATCACCGATTGCCTCATCTAGCTACGTTTTTTGGTGTAGGAATAGGTTGGAAGAAAGCTACGGGTGGCCAAACCAAAATATAACACAAATCAATGAAGACAATGACAAGTGGACTGAGCCATATTGGTAAGTGTAGATTACCGGTTCGGGGTCCGCGAGAGGATAGTAATCGATGGTTAGAGACCTTGATCGATACGGCTTAAAACCGTTTGCAATAGTGCAGGTGCATTTATTCTTTGTATCCTTTCAAATCCTAAACTTCTTAATTCCTCATCACCTTTATCTTTATTTCACTAGATTATGGTTCTTTAATAATATATTCGAACCTTAATTTCTCCGATTACTGCTAATACTTCTACTACCTCAACTACTATGATATTTGAATTAACAATCACATTTCTGTGCTAATGTAGTATGGCAACATGAACTGATTTACTTACGTACGTACGAAGTTCTACGTTGCTGTTGATTAATTGATTGATTGTTATATGTACACAGTGAATACTCAAATAGCGAGAGGGAAATAATACAATGTTAAGAGTTGCCAAATTAACATATCACTTCAATCCCAAACAATTTATGGAGTAATAGTTTAATTCACCTAAGGGAAAAAAACATACTTTCTAACTGATTGTAACACTTTCGTATAGTGCAGTTGTAGTGAAGGAGAACACAGGTGAGGGCAACCGAATTGTATCTAACGAAAATTACAGAGTTACTCAGTAAAATAGGAAAAACATATCGTAAACGGTTAATTTGCAAATCTTCAATCCATCATCAATCCATTGTCTGACACTTCACTGTTGTTCATGCGTTTCATACAAATTCCATTGTGTTCCCACTCTTCCTTACTTGATCTTGCCCCCCATTTTCTGCTGCCAGACATTACGTTTTTACTCGCGTCATATACTACTTATAAGTTGCGCGCACCACATAGTGACTTGAATTACTATTATTGATGATTTGTATGAGATTATTTTATCCAAATTCTATGTAATATATATATATATATATATATATATATATATATAATCTACTACAGAAATGTGTTTATATTCAAACATTTTTTTCTAACAGCCTTGGGAAATAAATGCACGCAATCTGACTGATGACTTTTTAAATGCTTATGAAGATGTATTGGAAAAGTATTATGTTGTGAATATGGAACGTTATTCTCACACTCTTAAAGTTGATGCTTCAACTATGGATGTTTATGATGATGATGATATTTATATTGTAAGTTTTTTTTTATTTTTGGATTCTACAATTTCCTAATTCTTTGGTTTTTTGGTTTCAAATTCTGAAATTCTATCATCGAGGAAAGATGAGTCTATCTACCTATATATTGATTGAATCATGACATCTTTCTCATTGAAATCATGAATCGACCAGTGTTAGATCATCGTTATTAGAAACCTGAAAGCAATGAATGACGGTTTTTTTGTCCTGGTGTATGAGACTACTCATCAACAGTGGCAGTGCGCATCCATGACTCCTGTACCGTGCCAGGATTCGAACCCGGAACCTAGGGGCCTTGCGCGTGCGAACGCCTAAACCTCTGGACTATATTTGATTTTTCTCTTGATTGATCTTGTTGTTTTTTCAATGTTAATAACAACCTGTTCATGTATTACAAACAATCTGCATTATAATTTTGCTATTTGTTGTATAAAAGAAAATGAACGTTTTAATACACTCAGTGTATCGAAAAACCACTCGTCAGTATGTATCATCTAGTCAGTCAGTCAGTCAATCATTTACAACGTAGAACTGCGTGCGTACGTACGTACATAAGTTCAGATTGTCATACCACCACATTAGCACACAAAGACGCAATGGTCAGTTCAGATCCAAGAGTGATAGCGATAGTAGAAGTATTAGCAGTAATGGAGATGGTGATTTCCTCCTCTGTTGGAATCTTGTTTGTTCGCTCCCATAATAGTTTGGTGCTGATATTGTCTGGTCAACGGATCCTCAGTGTCTTGTGTGGACAACTATTAATCAACACTTGTATCTTGTGGATGATGGCTTTCGTAGTTCTTCAAGTTTTCACTCCATACAGTAGAACTGACATTGCAAACGGTTATGAGCCATGTCATTCAAGGTCTCTAACCATCGATTATTATCACCTCGCGGACCCCAACCAGGTAGTCGACAATTACCAACATGGCTCAGTTCACTTGTCGATGACTTTAAGGATTTCTGCCTTGTTTTAGTTTGGCCGCCCCTAACTTTCTTCCAACCTATTCCTACACTACAAAACAAAGCTCGTCGAGGCAATCGGTGGTTAGGCATACGCAGCACATGTCCCAACCACCTCAAATGATGAAGTTTCATTACTTCATCTATTGATCTGCCATTCTTACCCAGCACCCGATTCCTAATAACAGCGTTGCTCACTCGACTGTCCCAGGATATACGAGCAATGCTTCGAAGAAACCTATGATCGAAAACCAATAACGAACGAATATCTTCTACTCTCATTGGCCATGTTTCACAGTCATAAAGTAAGACGCAGCGAACTACTGCGCAGTACACTCGCCCTTTAGTCAGCAAACGGATATCTTGCCTACACCATAAGTGACGCAGGTTGGCAAAAAGACAATCGAGCCTTCTGTATCCGAGCTGAGATTTCGTCATTCACCAGGCCATCAGCACTGATGAGACTCCCAAGATAAGTGAAGCGGTCTACTCGCTCGACTACTTCACTCCCTATCAGTAAGTACAATCTGTAAAAAAAACGCACAAATGTAATCTTCATTATCTGTAAATTTAATCCATAATTCAGAGTTGGTGTTAGATAGTTTGAAAACACGCTTTCAAAAAAATTACATATTTACTTCCACAAAAAATGTTCAATTCCAACAATAATTTATCTACTCAGCTCTACGGAAAGTAGTTAGTCAACACAAAAGTGTTCAGTTCCGAACCGCTTATTAATACTTTTACGAAGGTATTGTATTTTAGTAATGAAAATGAAGCTTAATAGATTATTTTGAGTATAACTCATTTACTAAAGACAGGTAATATTTACTCGATTTTCAGGCAAACTCATTATGTGCGGATGAATGCTACTGTAGTTGTAGTGAATGAGAACACAGCTGGGGCAACCGGATTGTATTTAACGAAAATTACACAGTTAATCAGTAAAATCGGAAAACCATATCGTAAATCGTTCATTTGCAAAATATCAGTTCATCATATCAAACTGGACTGTTCCTGTTGCAAAACATCAATCCATTCATGCGTTTCATACAAATTCCATTGTGTTCTTCTAACTCTTCCTTTCTCTTGATCTTCCCCCATCTTCCGCTGCCAGACATTACGTTGACATTCACGTCATATACTACTTATAAGTAGCTCACACCACACTACTACCCGTTGAAAACGATTTCAAAGCTATGATCCACTGATTAAAAGCCAATTAATTCCCCCCCTTAGACCATCATTCCACTGTCAAGTAAATAAAAATAACATGCAAACTTACAATGCTATCATGAACTGGTCTTATCCAGTTGGCAATTGCGAAAAATAAACACTGACGTTTTACTAGACGTAATTCAATGAGCATAGCATCACAATGTACAGTCCCAGTGCACCAAAGAGAATATAAGTGCTCTGATTCTTTCATTAATGTCCCAGTTCCAGGTTCAGCCTGACCATCATCACCTAGAACACAGAGAAAAAGCGCATGTCGAGGAAATGAATGAATTTTAAATTTGTAGAAGAAATAAAATAACAAATTATGCTTTATTTATCCAGAGCTCATAGTTTCAGTCACGGAAAGAGATTACGGATGTAAGAGGTTGGAGCATGAGTCCTATACACAAGGATGAAGCAGCTCTCTGTTGCACCTTGGTTTTCTGATGATCAGTCAGTTACAACGCAGAATTATACACGAAGGGTAAATCGAGCTGCTTCTTTATCTTGACATGGTGAGGTCAAGTGAATGATGCTACTCGGACCCTGTATACGCGTTTCCGAGACGCAGCACACATCGATGGAACGAGTTTCTAAAGTCCTAGCTAATGATGCCTGTTGCCCTATTTGACACAATTTCCGTACATTAAATGCTCCAACATGTAGTATAGAACGGCGTTTAAGGAGACCAGGAACGACGTTTCGTGAACTCACATCGTTTGCATTAGCTGTGCACTGTGATAAATAAGTGTGAGAAGAGTTAGTTGTGGAGATAAGAGAGGTATCAGGGGGTGTATGAAGGATTTGATTTTGACCAATTTGGTCTCGTGTGCTGTTACGGATATGAGGGCGGTTGTCACTTCCCGACTGCCCACACCGCGGAAGGTTGTTTCTTGAGGGACCTGAAAACAAAGATAGATTATTGTTGGTCTTAGAGACCTGGTTGCGTGACCGCAGAGTCCAAGGGACAACTGCTTGATGCCGGTCACACACGGCCTTTCGATGAGTTTTTTGTATTAGCTCCGCTCTTAAAAGTCCTTAGTGGGCACCCTTACCCAAGGAGACGGAAATCCGTGAGGTAGGTTGAGGTGTGACAATTTTAGGGTTGACCTTTTCTAACCCTTCCTTCCTTGTGAGAAGGCAGAATCGCTGCAGATGCTGGTTGTCCGAGGGAAAAACCTTACTGCTGTCACACCCCTCCACCACAGTCAGCAGTACGACTTCGCCCTCAGACCTTGGGTAGCTGCTTTTAGTCTCATCGTTCTCCAATCGACCTGCCTGGCATGGTAGGACCTGCAGGAACATGTGTTCCAGCCAGTATAGCTCGGTTGGGTCATCACGATAGGCAAGCCCGACCACCACGTCAAGGTAGCAGCTTCGGTCGGGTCTTCAGTAATAAGCAAACAAGGATATAATTAACATTACATTGAATGAAAAAAAAAAAAGCTTACCGACTACAGCAAAATTCGCTTCTAATAGTGGTTGATGAGCAGAAAACCAAGCGTTTGCCAGCTGTGTATTTTTAGAACGTCCAATTACAAAATTCAAAGAATATATCATTAAGGCTAATATAAATAGTATTTCTGCATGATAATTGTCCCATGAACGAGTAAGATGATGTGGAACCTAAAATTATATTAAGTGTAATAATGTACAAAACATACTTTTAATGGTGAGTTGAAACAAATGATATAGTTAGCATGATAAATATGAGTGAAGTCACAAAACTTTATGCCAAAAAATTTCAAGTGCATCAATCTGATACCATTTAAACCACTTTTCAGTTGCGCAAACATATTACAACTCCCGTTTTATTGTTTGAAATATTCTTGAAAATCTTCATACATCAAGCTTTCCATGTTCCATGTTTTGATAAAATCGTGTATGCAGATGATTTCCTAGTTTTATCATACATCATCGAAACGGAAAATCAGTTACTAAACAGCATAAGGATACTGCACACAGTGGATGGTTTTGTCTGCGAAAAGAGGTGAAAGCTTTCTTAGTCTTGCATCATTCTTGAAGTAGCTGTGACCCTTGTTTTAATGAATCATCCTCAATCAATCAACAGCAACGCAGAACTTCGTACGTACATATATCAGTTCAAGTTGCCATACCATATTAGCACAGAAACGCACATGTCACTTCGAATCCCACAGTAGTAGAGGTAGTAAACGTATTAGCAGTAATCAGATAGATTCAGGTTCGAAGATGTAATTCAAGAAGTAGGATCTAGTGAAATAAACTTAAAAGGTGATGAGGAATTCGGAAAAAAAGAGTTTTTCCACGTTTCGCCAACAACCTTGAGGGCACAGCTAGCGTATATTGACTAATACATCAGAATATGGGGAAACGTAACTTCCAGGACTAATTTATTTAATTATTACGTAACTAGGTATGTATATATTTCTACTAACATAAGCTTTCGTTCGGCAAATTAACTACAATTATACGATTTACTAGTTTTAATTTATTTACAGTCGTTCCTATTCACAACCACTTCTCGACGTGAACACGTACAACCGTGATTGTTTATAAGGACTAGTTTGACTACGTATAAACTAAATTTGTCTGAAATATAAATACAGTGGAGGTTGGTTCTGATTTCTGAACTCAAGGGCAAAGAAGAGTGAAGAAAGAGAACCGTGAATTGATAAGTGCACGGCCGTTGGACTAAAGGTTATTATTAGTGCTGAATATTTGTACACGCAATACTGAGTAGCACTTCAGATGATTGCTTTTATTCGACAGACTTCATGCAAATAATTTACAAAAATATGACCTAGTTTTCATAAGATAGATTAAAAATGAAATTGTATAAGACAGCGATTCTTCGTTCCAACAAAAATTAAGATCTTAAAAATGTTCCAAGGCTAAAAATTATTACATACCACTGAGTGTTATCAATAAAATGTCAGTCGCTTGATTGAAATGTAAAACACCATTGATTACTGTGAAAATGCAAATGTCTATTTAAGACCAAGGGGAATGAGACAATTTCACTGACAAAATGATCCCATAACACTGACAACAAACTGTGAGAATATATATTTGATGTTGAGATGGTGGAGAAAACTTGTAGCTCAGGTGGATGATTGTGGTGGTGGTGTTTCGTTCTCTGAGCTGGTTGTTTTGGTTGTGGAGCTTTCATTGTTCGTCTTCTGAACAACATCATCCGCACACAAACTTCAGATAGAAGAAGTAAAGCATTCGAATTTCTCCACGTTTGACCTGTAGCTTGTTCTGCTAACCTCGATCTTGATTGCTTGCTGTTGACCTTTGACCTGTCGTTGTTTGCAACTTTGTTTTGATTGCATCCCCTTTTTGATCTGTTTCTTGATCCTGTGTCACCTATGATTTTTCTGATTGATTGATTAATTGGGTCAATATCGATGTGCTTGTTGATTGCTGATTGACATGAGTGCGAGCCAAGCTTCTAAAAATTCTCTAGTGTTCTTTGTCCTCCCCCTACCCAGTATTTCCACATTGTTCCAATCAAATGTGTGTCCATAATTGTCGGTATGTATTGATATAAACGAAGCGTTGTCGTGGCATTTGACTGCTAATTGATGTTCACGTAAACGGAGCTGAAGAGGTCGTCCACTTTGTCCTATGTAGTGTTTTACACAGTTTGAGCAATTTATTTTGTAGATGATACTTGATTTTTTTTCATTTGTCATTTCGTCCTTTGGTCTACATACAGGATTGATTGAAGTGATTCTGTTGGTTTGTGTGCCACATCTATTCCAAGCTACAGGTCAAACGTGGAGAAATTCGAATGCCATTCACTTCTATCTGAAGTTTGTGCTGATGATGTTGTTCAACAGAAGATTAATGAGAGCTCCACAACCAAAACAATCAGCTCAGAGAACGAAACACCACCACAATATTTGATGTGTTTGAATATTCCTAAGACAAAGAACATTACTGAACTTCATAGTAAAAAAATACATTGTTCAAAGCTACGACATTTAACAGTACAGAAATAAAATCAACACATTTAACAGTACAGAAATAAAATCAACAAGTTGAAAATAAACTTTATTAAGATATATCACTGAGAATATAAATTACCTTGGCAATTTTTAGATTTCGTTTACCACTTTTTGTTTTGTCGGCATTTGGAATTGGTTGATTAATTGACAGACCTTCGAACTCTTCATCATCGTCAAGTCTGATGTCTTTCGACTTAAATACAAATAAAATCATTATTGATAAAGCTTTTTAATCAAGGATAAAACACAAGTAAATAAATGATACACTCACATAATACTTACTTACTTACTTACGCCTGTTACCCCCAATGGAGCATAGGCCGCCCACCAGTTTTCGCCAACCAACTCTGTCATGGGCTTCCTTCTCCAGTTCTGTCCAATGTTTGTTCATTCCTCTCATATCTTTTTCTATTTCTCGGAAAAGTAATGTATTGCTTGGCCTTCCTCTTTTCCTTTTGCCTTGAGGATTCCATGTGAGGGCTTGTCTCATGACGCAGTTAGGTGCTTTCAACAGTGTGTGTCCCATCCACTTCCATCACTTCTTCCTGACTTCCTCCTACACTGGAATCTGGTTTGTTCCCCCCCCCACAGTACGTTGTTGCTGATGGTGTCTGGTCAACGAATACGAAGTATTTTACGTAGACAACTGTTGATAAACACTTGTATCTTCTGGACGACGTCCTTTGTAGTTCTCCATGTTTCCGCTCCATACAGTAGAACTGTCTTCACATTTGTATTGAAAATCCTGATTGTGGTTTTGGTTGAAAGTTGTTTGGAGTTACAGATATTTTTCAACTGTAGAAACGCAGCCCTTGCTTTGCCAGTCCGCGCCCTCACATCTGCATCCGATCCACCTTGATTGTCGATGATGCTGCCAAGATATGTAAAGGTGTTAACGTCCTCCAAGGCATCTCCATCAAGAGTGAGTGATTTGGTTGGTGCATGTTGTGTTGCATCGGAGAATTTCGCTTTTCCCTTTATGTATGTTGAGACCTACTGCTGCAGAGGCTGCTGCTATACTGGTCGTCTTCTCTTGCATTTGTTGTTGCGTGTGAGATAGAAGAGCCAGGTCATCTGCGAAGTCCAGATCGTCCAGCTGCGTCCTAACTGTCCAGTTGATACCTTGCTTCCCTCAAGATTTCGACGTCTTCATAATCCAGTCGATGACCAGGAGAAAGAGAAAGGATGAGAGTAAGCAACCTTGCCTCACACCTCACATAATACATTTATGTAGAAATAGTACATTAAATCCAAACATTCTTTTAAATAACATTTAAGACATGTCAGTATTTATAGTATCCAGAAATGCAAATTCATAAGCATATGCATGTTTTATTATGCTTGCGTTATAGCCCAAGAGTTAATGAGAGCAATATATATATCAGTCAGTTACAATGTAGAACATCGTTAATTGAAATATTTCCAGGAGGGCAAAATAATTGCGTAGTAGTGTCTCAAGTCAACACTTCGTTTCCTTGATTTAACGCATGAAGAGATATAATGGATGTTCACACTTATTCGCAAAACATCTATGGAACTAACTTAAAACCTCATAGCCAGTAAAACTGTATTTCAATCACTAATCCACAACTCCACATATCAATTGCTTTTAGTGAAAAAAATGGATTTCATTATGTGTAATACTATGCAGGTAGTGATTATGTTTATTGACCAGTAAATATTGAATGACGCCCATTTCAGTAACTAGCCAAAAGTTATATATGACAAAATGAATACTAATTACATACTTGTGCAAATTCACGATAAGAGCCATTAAACAAATGATATTTTGAATTCGATTTTAGCAAAAATTTCACCAATTTTAAAATTATTAAGCATACCTTTTCATCTAATTCGCTATCTTCTATGATTGATCTGAGAGCTGGTGACTTGGCTGTGTCAAAGACTGCTTCGTCATCATCCAGATTGATCGCATCACTTTGAGAGAAGCTATTCCCAGATATGTTTTCATCCACACTCTCCGCTTTGTACTGACGGCCTGAGTGGACAGGAACTGCTCCAGTAATTTCAACAGTAGGTGCTATATAATTTAGAAAATTAGGACATTTATAGAAAATGTTACCAATAACGTCATTATTCTGCCCTGAAGCTTACAAGTTAATGTACGCTATCAATGCGATTGAAAGTGTCTCGAATTTTTTTTGCAGTTTACTAGGCATAATGATAACTATCCCAGAATATTTAACTATCCAGTGATTACTTATAATTTATCAGAGATCTTTAATCTCCAGACTAAACATGTATTACAGTATAAAGCTAACACTAATGTTCAATATTCAGACAAAGTCAGTCAGATACAACGTAGAACTTCGTACGTATGTACATCAGTTCATGTTGCCATACCACATCAGCATAGAGATATAACTGTCAATTCAAATCCAATAGTAGAAGAGTTAGTAAGGGTATTAGAAGTAATAGGAGAGGTTAGGATTAGAAGATATTATTCAAGAAGTATGATTCAATGAGATAAGTTTAGAAAGTCAAAACTAGAGGGATTGAAGAATCAAGATTAGGATTCGAGAGAACACAAAGAATAAATGCACCGGCGCCATTGCAAACGGTTATGAGCCATGTCATTAAGGATCTATAACCATCGATTATTATCATCTTGCGGACCCCCAACCAGGTAGTCGACAATTACCGACATGGCTAAGTCCACTCGTCAATGACTTCATGCATTTGTGCCATGTTTCGGTTTGGCCGCCCCTAGCTTTCTTCCAACCTATTCCTACACTACAAAACATAGCTCGTCGAGGCAGTCGGTGTATATTCAGACAAAACATCCTTATCATAACTTTCCGCTGCAATAACAGATAGAAACAAGTTTTATAACCCCCGTCATCTCATCTGCATAAGGACATTAATTACATCGGCAAATACTGAGAATTCAAAACGACTAGATTCTTAGAATCTCTGGGTTAGAGACAACGTACTAGGTAAGGATAGAAAATCGAACGATGAGCTAAATATGCACTGTCAGAACATCCCACTGATTACCTTTTCGAAGCACTGAGGGTTGAGTGAGAAATCCAGGGCAGTCAGCTACAACCTAGGACTTCGTACGTACGTATATTAGTTCAAGGTGCCAGACCATATTAGCAAAGAGACGCAACTGTCACTTCAAATTTCGCAGTAGTAGACGTATTAGCAGCAATCGGAGAGATTTGGGTTGGAGGATGTTATTCAAGAAGTAGGATCTAGTGAAATAAACTTAAAAATTGATGAGGCATTCAGAAGATTAGAATTTGAGAGAACACAACGAGTGGATGCTCCTGAGACATCACAAAATATATTGAGCCATGTCGTTCAAGGTCTCTAACCATCGGTGATTTTCGTCTAGCAAACCTCAACCAAGTAGCCTACATCTATCAACATGACTTAGTCCACTTGTCAGTGACTTCATGGATTTCTGCCATATTTTGGTCTGGCCGCTCCTAGCTTTCTTCCAACCTACCCTACACCACAAAATAAGTCCACGAGATAGTCGGTGGTTAGGCATACGTAACACATGTCCCGACCACCTCAACTGATGAAGTTTCAATACTTCATCTATTGATCTGCTGTCCCTAACTAGTACTCGTTTTCTAACAACAGCATTGCTTACCCGGTGGTCCCACGATACTCGAGCAATGCTTCAGAGACACCTATGACCTAAAACCAGTAACGTACGAATATCTTCTGCTCTCACTGGCCATGTTTCACAGCCATAAAGTAAGACAGAGAGAACTGCTGCGCAGTACACTCGTCCTTTAGTCAGCAAACGGATATCTCGCCTACGCCATAAATGACGCAGGTTAGCAAAAGCCAATCGAGCCTTCTGTATCCGAGCTGAGATTTCATCAGTCACCAGGCCATCGGCACTGATGAGACTCCCAAGATAAGTGAAGTGATCAACACACTCGACTACTTCACTCCCTATCACTAGTTCAGGTGCCGATGCAACCCAGTGTTGAAGCAACATTTTGCATTTGGAGGGTGAGAACCGCATCCCGAACATGCTTGCATTGTTGCTTAGGGTGGTCAGAAGACTCTGTACTTTGTCAGCGTCTTCACCAAGTAGGACAATGTCATCGGCATATTCTAAGTCAATAAGCGAGCCACCTGGTAAACGGTCTACTCCTGAAAATTCAGACGAGGATAATGTTATGTCTAGGAGCATGTCTATGATAAAATTAAACAAGAATGGAGAAAGTGGACATCCCTGACGGACACCACTTGATGTAGAGAATTCCGGTGACAGTTCGCCATAAGCTCTCACTCGACCAGTGGTGTTCGAGTAGAGAGCTTGTATGAGGTTAATGTACTTCTTTGGTACACCTCTCAATGTCAGACACTGCCACAGAACCTCACGATCCACAGAGTCAAATGCCGCCTTAAGGTCCAGGAAGACAACTATTGTCGAACGCCTAAATGTGTGTTTGTGTTCCAGGACCTGTCTGAGTGTGAAGATGTGGTCTATACAGCAACGTCCAGGTCTGAAACCAGCATGGTTTTCTCGCGTTTGCTCTTCACGAGCTCTAGTTAGGCGTCTAAATACAATCGAGGCTTGGGGCCAGTCAGATGGGATTACGTCCAGTTCCCAGATTCTATCTAAGGTCTCGGTCAATCCAGCTGCTAAAACTGAACCACCATCCTTAAAAATCTCAGGGATCAATCTATCATGACCCGCCGCTCGCCCTCGCTTCAGATTTCCTATAGGTTTCTCAACTTCATAAAGACTAGGACTTATATCGATTTGCCATTCAGGATGACGGGAGATCGCGGGCAACCGAAGTGTGGCTGAACGCCAGTTGAACTGATCCCTAAAGTGTTCTGCACATCGATCCAATCTCTTGGATTGAGAATAAATGATACAGCCATCCTTTTCCCAGATAGTTTCACTCACATTCGAGTTCCGAATACCGGTTTCCCTAATAAGTCCGAATAGTTGTCTACTGTTGACTATCGCCGTAGCCTTTTCCATTTACCTCGCTTTCGCCACCCACCACTGTTCTCGATCATTGTGAAGGCTTTTTATCAGCATGCGCCTGATCTGACTCCGCTCCTGATTGGTGTTGATAATACTACCAAGTTTATAGGGTTAGATATGGCATTAGTTTCTCTGAAATAACGTAACAGAATTTACGTTGTGTTGTTAACATAAGTAACGTACAACCGGACATATGCATCATTTGAAGCTGCCGTACTACATCAGCACAGCGAGATAAAATTATATCAGGACAAGTCCTGGGGATGTAGCTGTATAACACCCAGAAATAGATTACGTACACAAGAGCAATAAGTGGAGACTGGAATTCAGGTTCCAAAGGCAAGAAAGAACGCATCTCTGCCACTACGAACAATTCCAAACTATGGCACTGTCTCTAACAACTGATTACGATAAGCACGTGAAACCCAGTTCATTAATCTACATCTGGCATGGCTCGGTTCAGCTGCCAATGACTTCATAGATGAGTGTCAGGTTTTTATTTGGCCGCTCCTGCGCTGTTATAATGAGTAGGTTAACGGAGACACTTTAAAACAGAATGAACGAAGTATTTTGCTACTGAAAACAAATACTTTTGTAGTAACGGTGCTTACGACTCTGCATTACAGTTTGGATATATGGTTAGGGATATGTTGAATACAGGTCCTGTTTGCAAGAGCTGTGTTACACTTATTCGCAATCATCGAACACATTTGCCGCTTGGAAAACGACAACTACGATAGTCGTTTCACAATGGTAGTTAAATGTTTGGCTTGTAAGTGAAATCGTGGATCTGAAGTATGCGTAGGGGTCGCCACATGGTATAAGGTTTTATAAATGGCGTTAACTAGCATAAAACTCAACGAATCATAAGACACAGTCATCTTAGGTCATGATAGTTACTTAAACTAGGAGATCAGAGGCGAGTATTTTTGACCAAATTCATTTAATTGAGACTAGGCTTAAACGATAATATGACTGTCTAGAAATTTCCCTGTAACAGAACACTTTCCGTCCCATTTGAATGGGATTAAAGGATCCGTAGGTAAAAAATATGAATTATTCATGCTTCTTATCACAAATCGACATAACATAGACCACTTACGAACCAGTAAATTGATAATTATCGCTGTACACTTACTGTCATCTGGATCCACAAACTCTGCAAAATCGTCATCAAGATCGGTACAGTAAATGGTGTTCAAATCGCATAGAAGAGCTGCGGTAATGAGCCATAGGCAATACAATGGGATATCCAACTGCGATCGGAGGAAGGACAGGAACATAATGAACCAGAGGGCACGTCGATAATTTAAGTTGACCGCTTCCGTTGGTTCAATGCCTTGATCCAATTTTTAATAACCTTTTCACGAGCGAGGATAACCGATTAGTTTCTTTGCGCTCGAACCTAATTCTTTCAGTACGGTTCTAGATATTCGGTCGTTAAATAACATGACCTGTCTGATTTCCCTGAACTTGCATTCTTATTCAAATCAGGAAAGAAGTTGCAATATTTCGATAACGTTCAGTTTATTCACTCCATTACTACTAACTGTCTTAAGAAACACCGATGAGATTTTAACCTTCCAGCTTTTTTCAGCTTGGAAAGGAAAGAGCAGAAGTCTGGATAGCCTGTGTTAGTCCTGGCAATAGTGGTCTCTTAGTTGATTCAACTTTATTTTGATTACGTTGACAAATGCGAATTCACTCACGTAGTGAAGTAAATGTTTCCTTCGGATGATGATTTGGTGAGAAGGTAGAAAACCATATGACAATTAGTTTGTTCGGAGATTTTTAACTTCTCTAGAGTATCGTCATTAACTTTTTGACTTGTATATAAAAAAGAAAGAGGGAACGTTGATTTATCATTAAGTATATTAAAAATGTGATTGGGTCACCTCTGGTCCTTCTTTATTACAAGAGAGATAAGTTCAACTTAGACCGTTTCTCGTCACACGGCAGTTGTGCTAATATAAGAATTAACTTATTAGCAGTTTTTTGAACCTTTTCCGATATCTAACTGTACTTCTTGGGCAGGGGCTGGCTGCCTCCATGCAATAATTAGGCTTAGGACAAATTGATACTGCTTATAAAGTCAAAAGTATCATTCTATTGGTATCTGTTCCAGTATGAGGATTAAATTTCCAACATTAGTCTTTTCTGATGTCCAGGTTTGTCATTTAGCTCACCAACGAAGATGATCCCTGTCGGTGGTTTCAGGTGTTTAACCTGAATTACAACCTCAAAACAACCAGGCGGCCTTCTAGGATAAATACAGTCAATGGCAACAGCATATATAGGTAATAACAGTTAACAGAAGTGCAAGGCGGAACAACTACCACATATCCCTGTCCGTGACATGCAACTGATCGATATGAATTGGTTGTCTTTGACCTTGACGACGGTCCATAAACTGCCAGCCATTCTTTACCTTGCCTGTCAGATGATTTGGCTAGAACCCAGTGACATTTTACTGGTAATGTAATACTCCCTCACTAGATTAAACGGCTTTCGAAATCGGTACCACCTTCTCCAGGGGGAACGCGCGTTAAAGGATCCCAACAAACACGTCAAAATCCTCCAGGTATAGACAAGTTGTATGGTAAATGTGGAAGGGCTACAGAAACTGCTTGGAGAACAACTAGTAATATTAGGACGAAGAGTTTTCAGGCTTTAGCTTCAAACGTACGAACAGGTTGTTTGAATGATGAGTGATTTAATGTGAAAACAACGAAGAATAATATTACTAAGAAATAGTTATGAGTGGTATGATAACATGTGGCATCGAAAGGCGATTGATGATTTTTCACATGAGATATATGAAACTTTTTGTAAGTCTTGACACCATCGAAGCATAACAAATGCATTGTCATTTTATAGCTGTGCAACAACCAATTTACAGCAAAAGGTCAGTTAATGTGGTTAACGGTTTCTTATTAGTAGGTATCAAATTCTAGTCATATCAGTTATGATATGATTTCGTTATCTGAGCTGGGTAGTTTAGCTCATAGGTGATTTTGTTTAACGAGACCTCATTTACTACTCAGTTTGGACTAAAATAAATTGAACCAGCCGGCAGCTTTTGTCCATTGCATGACAAGCAACAGCTAGCCAAATTGCACGTTCCAGTTCCGTGCGATTTGTTTTAGAATGCGATAAAGGGAATATCATATCTAACTAACAATGCTACGTTTCCTCCTCTTAATTTTCGGATTGTTTTGCCCCTTACTAATGTGAAATTTTCAAACTAAAGTTTCCAACTGTCTGCAGAATATGTCAACAGAATATGGGTTCCCAGGTATTTATCGACTGCTTACGTGGTCAGGTTATTGTTATTTCTGCTAGAAGCGGACCTAGCCTTAGGATTACAACTACTCTTATGTTGTGATTGTTCTCTCGATTTACTGTTTGTAGACCTCTAATACTACCAGCAAATTTGTAAGCATTTATTGCCTTGCTAAATTCGTAAGAACACAGAACAACTTATCATTCATATATTTCTATAATACAGTCAATTTATGGAGTATCGTTTAGCAGTTTGAGCAGTTTTATAGAACGTATACTATCATTTTTGGATGAAAAACTTGCCTTATGATATTAAAAAATTGTAAGAAATAACTGATAAGTAATTAACTAGCCGACAACTTTTTGAGGCGGTTCCAGCTGGTGAAGAAGATTCGTTTCGCATGAAATGAATGACAGTTGTCTATTGAATATGGATGCAAATGGTCTTGAAGTCGATTAATCAATCGGAGGTATGTGATTCCATAGAACAGCCAAACGTACAATACATTGTGGTTACCAACGACAGAACGAAAACCAGCTTGTAGAATTAATTATCAACCGAAAATCCTCAAAATTCTCTTACTTAAAGAAATTGTGAAGATTTTTGCATGACGTAAGCGAAGGTTAAATCGCATGCACTGTAATGTCAATAAGAAAGGAAACAAATTATTCACCATTGCATGATTAGTATATTCGAAGTTTTGAGCCGAAAAGAGCACCGTCTTAAGTAATGGGAGTACGTTTATCCACTGGATAAGATTCAAGTGTAAAAGAACAGGCAGATGGTAAACAACATCAGGTGAAGAAGAACAAAGGAACTCAAGGTACAAGCCGAATACATAGAAGCTAGGAAACAAACAGAGGGTATCAAGGCAGATAAGCGACAATGTGTGGACGATGAAAGATGAAAAAATTGAGAAAAGAAAGGAACACTGGACAACAGTATAACACAACGAAGGGATTTGCCGGAAAATATGGTAAACTAGAGAAACCAGTGGAGAACATATAAGGCAAAGCATTCACCAATATTGGAGAACAGTGAAAGGGGTGTGTAGATCCCCTTGAATAACTCTTGAAAAGTCCGGCCCCATTGAACCCATTCAATGTCGAAGCAGCACTAACGGACCTCCCCATTAAAGTTGACCCACCAACAACTGAAGAGGGCAACATGGCATCAGCCAGATGAAGAGCGACACGACGAAAGGATAAAACAGAATCCTAGCCCAGGCACTGAACGCAGGCAGAACAGTAACTCAAAAGATGTTCCTTGATCTGTTAGGTAGATTGTTGAATGAGACGCTCAATCGACTCTCAACCACGAGACCAGCGGGCTGGATCCCCTGAGGACCGGTTGTGTACTGAACATATCGTGACACTACCGGTCATTGTGAGATGATTGATTGAATGGAACTCACCAACAATCATCAACTTTATTTACCTAGCGTAAGTACTTGACATCGTGGACAGGATAATATCATGGAAACGTCTTCGACACTATGGTGTACGAGAGAAGCTGGTCAACATTGTACGGAATGCTTCTAATGAACTACACACCCAAATTGTGCATGACTGACAGATGGGGCGCTGCCAGTGGATTTGGATTTTGCAGATGACTTGGCTCTTCTGTTATACACACAGTAACGAATACGGATGAATAAAACCAGTGTAGCCTCTACAACAATAGGTCTCAACATATACAAGTGAAAAAGTGAAACCCGTAGAAACGACACAGAATGCATCAACCAAATCATACCTGACAAGGAGGTTTTAGATGTCGAGACAGCTACATACATGGACAGAATCATTGATAAACAAGGGGATCTAATGCGGATTAGAAGACACGTACTACGAAATAAAGGACAGCATTTCTACAAATGAAGAATATGTGAAACCTAAAACAGCTGTCTCTCAGCTAACACTGAAGTCAGAATTTTTAATACGAATATCAAGACAGTTCTACTGCAGAAACAGGAATGTTGGAAAAATGTTTAACAAACGTTGCTTACGGGAGATACTGCGGATCTGTTGACGAGGCTCCACCAATAGCAATCTGCTGTGGGAGAGAACAAACTAGACTGGACCTGAGGACGAAATTAGAAAAAAGCGGTGGAAGAAGGCTTGGACATATTGAGGAAAGCACCATACAACACTGTGAAGGGGTCCGCCGATTTTTAGAATAATCAGGACCAAAGGAAAAGAAGATCATAGAAATTGTTACTCTGAGAAATAGAAGCAGATATGCAAAGAATGATTTGGTAGAACCAGAAAGAAAGTCCCAAGATAGAGTAAGACGGGAAATGCTGTTTGGCGTCCTATGTTCCGTTAAGGGGAACAGGACTAAATAAATGATTCTTGTTTTTTAAACCTCATGGGGATGGAGTTGGATTACGTGAAGGGCAATAAGGTTAAAAACTTTGGTAATTAACGGCATCATTTAGATGGTCGCCTTTGTTAATTACCCCACATTCCAGTGGATATCATTTCATGTTGTTTCTCACCTCTGTACTTGGATTGCCTCGCAAAACTCATTATAAGATTACTTGTCAAGAAAATACTGTTCGAAAGAATCAAGTTCTGGTTTTGTTTTTATAAAAGAATACTAAAACAACTAAGTTCAATTTATTGCGATTTCCTGTTAAATAGTAGTTTCATATGTTGTGTCTAATAAAACAGAGTTATGCAGAACATTGTGAGTGTTTATTACTATTGCAAAAGTTGCTTGCAAAATCACAAGGAACAATTATATATTTAGTGTGTTCAGTTTATCCAGATAAATTTTACTGTTTTTCCAACATGTTTCTTGATACTGCCTTGATGATAACCTTGAAGGGTATTGGAAAACTGCTGCACTTGCCAGAAAAACATTCGACTACTTGATCTGTTTGGGGATCATCAGACCGTCAAATAAACCACAAGCATCCTCGTTGTATGCGTTCCCAAAGAATAATCGTAATTGTTTGCTTGCAACTGATGATTTTCGACAACTCAATGAGAAAACCAC